TATATAGGTTATTTGATCTTGTAATCTTTGATCTTGTCCAACTAACCAATGAGTTGATTTTTTTTAAATGATATATTTATAACATTTTTGCTTTGTGAAGAAACTCATACAAACAGACACTGCAGCAAACAAACTGTAATAATCAAGCGGATCAAGCACTGACAATCTCTCCTCTGTCTGCTGTGTATTTGACTTCCCATTTTAGACTGTTTATTTTACAGTGGTTAGATAAAGATCAGTGCTGTGAACTTCACCAGTGAGTTAGCGAACTACATGCAAAATACAAGAGATGATGGCATAAACAACAGCTGAAGAAAGGAAAGGCAACCATTAGCTGAATTATGCCTTCATGTGAGTCATGTGATTCCTTCATTGACACTATGTTATACACACAAGTTATTTTTAACAATGAATACATTAAATTCTTACTTTTATTCAGCAAAGATACATTAAATTGTCAAAATTTCAAAATACATTAAATTGTCAAAATCAAAAGTGACAGTAAAGTTACAAAAGTAATGCTGATCAAATAAAATGCTGATCTTTTTTATTCATTAAAAAAATCCTGAAAAAAATGTAGTCTCCACAAAGATATTAAGTAGCATTGATATTGAAATACATCTTGAGCAGCAAATCAGCATTTTAGAATGATTTCTGAAGGATCATGTGACTGAAGACAGGTGAAAATTCAGCTCTGCCATCACAGGAATAAATTACATTTTAAAATATATTAAAATAGAAATCTGTTTCAATTCTAAATTGTAATAATGTGTCAAAATATTACCGTTTTGACTATTTTTGATAAAAAAAACTAAACCTACCATACTTTTTAGAGGCAGGATCATGTGCACGTAGAAACTTATTACCAGCATTAGCATACTGCTTCACAACACTAACAAAACATGCTACTAGGGCTGTGCAAAAAATCGAATGCGATTTTCATGTGCATCTCGTTAGTAAAGCCGCTCCTGTGATTAGAAGTAAATCTCCAGCACGTGCGTTCAGATGAAGTGGCATTTACTACACAGAGCCGTAGTTCACTGACAAGCTACATAAAATCGCAGGCGATTCATTGCCGATTTTGAACGCGATTTTGTGTAGCTTGTCAGTGAACTACCAGAACTAGAACAGGAGCCTAACTTCTCCCTTTAAGCCCTTCCTTCACAGTTAGAATAACCGGGATTAAGTCTCACCGATGTTGACTAATCTGCTCGTCCTCCAGAAGGCAGTGTAGATACTGCTAGCACACTCAGCCTCATTAGACATGCATGAAGGGCTTAAAGCAGGAAGCATCAGGAGATTTATTCAAATCTATTTTTACCATCCAGGTCACATTTTAGCACGGAATAACACCCAGAAAAACATAAGGTGCGTGCGGCAGGGGGCGGGGGAGGGGCTCTCTTACTGTGATCAGATGGAAAGAATATTAAACTTAAATACCATTATGTAATATCCAGTATTGTGCAAATGGTAAACAAAAAACACCTTCTGCCAGTATATTAATGCATAATGAAGTTTGATTATATTTAGAGCATGTTTCCTGTGTAAATCCTTCTCTCCTTCCACAGACCGAGGCTGCGCTCATGTATGACGCAGTGTTCATGGTTGCCGTTGCGTCTCAGCGGGCCACGCAGATGACAGTGAGCTCCCTGCAGTGCCACAGACACAAGCCCTGGAGGTACGGCCCGCGCTTCATGAACTTGTTTAAAGAGGTGAGAATATTGTACTTTATGTAGCAAAACACATTCGACTGATTTGAATTGTAAACTTCAATTTGATTGTAAGTGAAAAATTGTAGACACTTTACTTGTAAAATATCTCCAACTTGACAAGTTTAGTGTTTTCAGTGAATTACATTTATTACAATTCGAGAGATACTCCACCCAAAAATGAAAAAAAATAATAATAATAAAATTATGACAGAATTGTCATTTTTTTTGGTGGACTGTCCTAATTGTAAACTTAAAACGGTAACACTTTAGCTTAGGGACCAATTCTCACTATTCACTAACATGCATATTGGCTGCTTATAAGTACTTATAAAGCACATATTAATGCCTTATTCTGCATGACCATATTTTAGATCCCTTAATCCTACCTCATACATATATTTATCAACTACCTTACTATAAAGTGTGATGTGTATTTCTTGTATCAACCATAAAAACAAACCATACAGAGCAGTGAAAATAGTGTCTTGCAGGAGACGATCACTTGAGCTCCAGTGTCTTCAATCCTGTTGGTAGTCTCTGCATTACATAAAATTAAACCTTTCGTCAAATCAATTGACATGTCCACATTGTATCTGCAACAGTTGTAGTCACTCATGTCGAAAATTAGGTAGTTTGATAGATCTCCTGTATGATGTGAATCATGCTGTATGTGTGAATGATGCTTGACATGTTGTGGAATATTTATCAGACAGCCTTTTTGAACTCTTTTGGACTTTACACAACCTTTTTTCAGATTTTTGACCCGTAGGTTACATAAAAATGTATTTGAAGATGAAAAACATGTTTTTCAGGGCAGAGGTGCCTGAAAATGGATACTGGTACCTCTGCGTTTTGATCTTTTTTAAGTCCCAGATCACTGCTGAATGCTCTCACCGCCTTTGAACCGAAAGGTCATAACAGTCCTCCTTCATGTCTGAGTGTGGGGTGTGTGCATG